AAAGAACATAGGATAGTTTTTATCCCAGACTTTTGAAAGGTTCTCTTGGAAACGCGATATAACCGAACTCGACGCGGGCGAAGCTGCGGGCGGAAAGCTAGTACCATATAATATATACACATTGATCTATCGGTGACACTCCCAAAAGAAATAGTAATTGTATTTATTTTATCAATTTACAAGTCTATCGAAAGTTTTCTGAATAAAAACAAATTTTTTAGACCCGGAAACCAGTTGTTACCGCTAATTACGTCACTGTTTCCGATGTTTTATATCGCGATTGAAACGAAGATACTTTCAGTTTTTAGTTAAAGGAAAACTCGTGCTAAGAATTGTATACCGGTTTTGTATCAGAGATTGCGATATTATTACATAAGTATCAATTTATTAGACTGCTGCTAGGTGTGACGTCATCAAACTATGACGTCACTTAGCGACCGAAAAAAGATTTTTATATATGATTGATATACGCGACTTTGTCCTCTTGTTTGTTCTTCTACCTGGCAATTTCCCAGCTACAGCCAGGGCCTGCCTTACATGTTGTGAATCTTTTTGGATATTTCTTTTTACGAACGGTCGCCTTGCCTGGTAGCTTGCTATAAAAAAATAGAAACAAAAAGTTTCGTCCGAAAAATCAAATTAAGGATGAGCAACCCTTATGACTTAGAGGTATGAAAAATAGATGTTGGCCCTTCCTCAGAGCTACTCAATATGCTCGCAAAATTTCATCAAAATAGGTCCAGCCGTTTCGGAGGAATTCTCTGTCTAACACCGCGACACGAGAATTTTATATATATCAACTGAACGCTCCACTCCACTTATTGAAAGATGTAAATCCCAATATCCAAATATTCAAAAATTGCTGTTTTCATGTAACAATAAGATTTGTCGTAACGTATAGTTATGAGTGTTGATCTACCAAAAAGATTGAAGAAAGATGGAACTGTAGAGTGTCATGAAGGGATACGATACAAAATAATTATATGAGGAATATAATAAGTTCTAAGATTTTCGCGAGTACTCATTTAAATGAAACTAATATTTTCGGATTTACTACTCGATTTTTTTTTTGCCTATAAACTACATACTCCCGACGTTTCGGCTACTTTACAGCAACCGTGATCATTAAGACGAGATGTTTATGAAGAAGAATGGAATAGTAACGTTAAGTTGAGAAGTAATAGATTAGTATAATATAGGCATCTTCTCCATGTGTGAAGAGGCCTTTGCTCAGCAGTGGGCTCTGATAGGCTGATGCTATAAAGAGAAGAATGTTAGGTATGAATGTGGGGAGATATGTGGTTGTAGACCTAAGAAAATATAAGATAAATTGCGTGAAGAATGACATGAGTAAGAAAAGGATGAGTATTGAGAAGACGGCTAATAGGCGAGAATAGAACAGAAGAAATCGTCTTTACATGTGACCTTATAGGAATATGAGCTTGCTTATCTTCTTAGCTTAATTCCCTTACGAATATCTTACTAACTTCATCACATAGAAAAACATTTACCATAATTCTGTGAATATCTCTTTTTAAAGATTGTTACGTACGCGCTACATATGAAGAATAAAATGAACATCGCCGGGTCGACATCTTTGTATCGGTAAAATATATAACTCTTGACGCCGCTGACTCCGCGGAACGAACACCAAGCGTGTGAACCAGAAGATTCCTGATACACACAAGCTATGGAATGGTATTGCTATCATAACATCGGGTCAATCATGTAGTCTTAGGTGTAGGTTATAAGTTTTAATATGTAGTTCTTATTTTAATATACATATAATTAAGTTTCGTAGTTTTCCTGAAACCTCCGGTTACCACTCTATATAATTAGGTATTAAATATAAACAAATACTGTTGGTTCGCCCGTTTTTAATAACAAAAAAATATATATACAATAGGACATGGATATAACAAAGTGTTGTTACAAAATATTTGTCTACCCTCAAGTACAGGCATACATACAAAATACACATACATACAAAAAGCGTATTTGCGCGTTAAAACAAGGCACTGATGATTCATTTTTTTTTATAATTTTTTTTGTAAGCTGCACTCATTTTATACAATTTCCTAATAAAAAATCATTTTTCCCACTATTTTGAAATGTATATAGCAACAAAATTATATTCAAATATTTTTAGGTATTTCAAATTTCATGAGTGCAGCCATTTTTTTATTTATTTTCAATATATTGGCACAATAAAAAAACTATATAGCACATAAAACTAATGACTTAGATAATACAGAAACATTTAACCCATTAAAAATATTATTATTAATATTAATAATTATATTTATTTAATTAAATCAACATTTACCACTTTTTTTACTGTCGGTTAAGTTACCATCAAATTCTCAAGACTACCACAGTTATAGTGAGTAGTTTGAAAAAATAAATCACTTAAAATTTTTATATTATTTTTAACCTGACTTTACTTGCATTTATATAACAAAAAAATATTATTACGAAATTAAATTGAAACATATATAAATAGGATTCTTGTTATTAAACAAATCTATAAAAAATAAAGAAAAAAGAAATTCCATTAAAAATTATAATAAAAAGGTAATCTAACAATATATATATGAGAGTATCAAAATTATTTTAATTGTATATATCCTAAAAACTTATAATCTGACTTAAACAGACACATATTTATTAATTTTATGTTAAAATATCATCAAAATAATCACAATTTTAATTATTTATTATAATACAACTAAAATCCCTTGGTTTTCCACCCTGTCTTCAGCTAACCACAGAGAGGTGAACATATATATATATGGGAATAGTGCAAATCCGCGTAACTAGCATTGTATAATTCCGCGTATCTACATATATTGGAAGCAGATTATCAGAAGAAAGTTTAAGCTGAAATATTTTCTATATTAACAACTTTTAAGGTAATTTTTTCACAATAAGTAATAATTTAGTGTTTAATCTATAGTAATATTATAAAGCTGAAGAATTTGTTTGTTTGTTTGTTTGAAAGCGCTAATCTCCGAAACTACTGGTTCGAATTGAATAATTCTTTTTGTGTTGGATAGTCCAGTTATCGAGGAAGGCTGTAGGCTATATAACATCACGCTACGACCAATAGGAGCAAAGATATAGTGGTAAATATGTAAAAAACGGGAGAAATTATTTCATCTTTGAAGCCTTCCGTTGCGTGCGCCGTGAAAACGGTTCAAGATACACAAAAAGTATGTGTTAAAGAATAATAGTTCTTTTAATGATCTAAAAAACAGTTCGCGACAGTATATGTCTATCTTTTAAGATGAACTCACAAAAACCGTTTTTATGGTACCTAATTTGGTCGAAATAATTTGTTTAAGTTGTATCAACATAATAATATTAATCTTTATTCAAATAAACAAATAAATATGTTGTTGGTTAAGAGTACTTCATTGTGAATAAAAAAACATAGATTTTATTCTGAAAATTCTACGGGAACTCGACCATTCCGAAAACCCCGCAAGAACGAGAACTATGTGGGAAGAACCAAAAATCTGCCGAAAGTCACTATTCCACGCGGACGAAGTCGCGGCAAAAGCTAGTTTATTATAATTGTGAAAAAAATACCTTAAAACTCATTAATACCGACAATATTTCAGTTCAAACTTTCTTCTGATAATCTTCTTCCAATGTAGATACTCGGAATTATACAATGCTAGTTACGCGGATTTGCACTATCCCCGACGATATATTTTGAAGAACTACAGCAAAATATGACTTATATATAGCAATTACGATTCATTTTTCAATAACTATGTCAATTTGTCTATCTAATATATATAGGTGCTTAAGTTCATATTGTTTCTGAGTTATTATGTAATAGAACTTAAAATTAATAGGACTTCTGAAGTAGATCAAAATATATTTACATCATTATTGTAAGATTAAAGCCATACATATATTTTTTTGTGGATTTCCTCGTTTATTACAAACACACACAAGATAGCTTGGTTATACACGCATTTGTCGACAATTTTTTTTTATATTTTCACCTAAATAACTTTTTTTTTCAACTTAATTTCATATATTTATTTACAATGAACCCAATAGTATTCATTAATCCTATTACGACTTATTTTGATACTGTTTTATAAGTAACGAAAAAAAACGCGTTAAAAATATTTACTTAATAAACATACAGTACAATTTTAACCTATACATATAATTAGTCGATCGACAACCCTATTGATATATTATATAATGACAACCCTAATTAAAATTTTAGTAATTACAGAAAATGTACAGAATAAGAAATTCACAATAAACAACCCTCATTACAAAATTGCTTACCGCACTTAAAATTTAATAACCTATTAGATCTACTTGACAACCCTATAATATATAATAAACTTACGAGTGACAACCCTATTTTTAGCTATTTATTACCGTACAACTAACTTACAAATGACAGTCCTATATTCCATATTCATAACACATAATTAACACAAATTACAGCCCTAAGTTTTGTTATTTGCAAGACTAAATAACTTACAAGTGACAGCCCTATATAGTTACAGTAATACCCCGCTTAACGCGACCCCGTTATACGCGGTTTCACTATAACGCGATTTTCAAAAAATTATTCAGATTTGGACATGTTGTATAGATAATAATAATGACCGCGCCTTGAGCGTGTGTCAAACAATTAAAAACAGTGTTGGGTGTTAAGAACGTATTCTACAAGAACGTAAACAAAACGCTACCCAAAAGACAATACATGTATTTTTTCGTAAAAAATAGGAGTACCTATGTATTGTACAGTGTTCTTAGAATTAAAGTGATTGATTAAAATGATTTTTATATTTGTGTATTAAATTTTGACTGTGTTTAATCATAAAACTCGATATACTCGAAATTCAGTTAACGCGATTTTCTTCGGAACGTATCCCTCGCGTAAAGCGGGGTATTACTGTACTATTACTCTATATTAACTCACAAGTGACAGCCCTATATTAACTCACAGGTGCCAGCCCTGTCTACAAGTTGAACCCCCTCAAGTTCTTCAACCTCCTCTCCAAGTCCTGCACATCATCTTTGGGCCAGGCTTCAGATTTCTTCCTCTCACCTCCGGGTGCCATCTGGAAGGATTTTGAATCGGTTTCTTTACCAGGACTCTCCGAACTGAAATATAAACATAATAAATTATTTGAATATATATATATAGGATTCTAAGAAAAGTATTAAATAATATGGTGGTCTTATAAGCCTACAACTTTGAAATACCAAATGAAACATTAACCGGAACAAAATTGTCTTAAAGAGTTAATGAAATAATTATTATCTTAAACCAAAACATCTTAAATATCTTATATTTAATTTATAAAGACACTCACAGACAAGACATATATATTTACATATATAGGTGTGTGCGAAAGTTTGTATATATTTTGATCTTTCAAGTGAAATTTATTGAATACATTTTGATGAGAACTTATATAACACATACTATATCATTAGGCCAAGATTATACATTTTTAGCTACTATCCCTACTAATATTATAAATGCGAAAGTAACTCTGTCTGTCTGTCTGTTACGCTTTATATCTAAACTACTGAACTGATTTTAATGAAATTTGGTACAAAGATAGTTGAGCTTGAGAAAGAACATAGGATAGTTTTTATCACAGACTTTTGAAAGGTTCTCTTTGAAACGCGATATAACCGAACTCGACGCGGGCGAAGCTGCGGGCGGAAAGCTAGTAGTATATAAATGCATGTGTTACTGTAAACTAGTGTTTTTCAATCTTTTGGATATCGCGACTCCTTCACGGTTGAATAATTTGGGCGACACCCTAGTGCTATAGACAGGCAAGGAAATTATTAAATTAAAAATCTAAGTTAAAAACATTCTCTCCAATAGTGGATATCAAAACAGAAAAGAAGAAATAAACTTCAATTACAAGCTGATTTCATAATAAATATTTAATAGCACCACAAGTAGTGCAGAACTTTAGTTTTTTTCACCAGTGATAGCCCGAATAAGTCTTCGCATACCCCTTAGGGGTTTTCGCATACCCCATTAAAAAACATTGCTGTACACCATTATAAGTAATTCAACCCAGACAAAGCCATAAATAAAAATTAGACACATATACTATGGAATATTCTGGTGGTATATTATCTATTAAGGCCAGTCCAATAATGGACTATTTGGTATATCTTTTGGTACCTGCAATACTCGGTGCTAGGAGCCAGTTCATCTCTACTATTATATAGCCACACTCTTGCGCCAGGTGTATGGTCACGTACGTGGTAGTCACCGGTGTATTGAGGAGGCGTCGTGAAGTCCACGTCTAGTGGCTGACCTGGAAATATAATAGAATAGATTCTTCTTCTTCCTGTCAATTTCCCAGCTTTAGCCAGGGTCTGCCTTACATGTTGTGAATAGTTTTGGCTAATTGTTTTTACGACCGGCCATCTACCTGACATCAAGCCTCTTTGGGAATGATTAGAACAGCTGGATTATCCAGGTGTAACTTAAAGTTACCATAATTTGCAGGTTTAAGGTTTAAAAACAGTATTTTCTGCACAAAGTACATATGACTGGGAAAAATCACATTGGTACTTGTCAGGATCGAACCTGCGCCCTCGTGCATGAGAGGCGGGCCTCTTAATCATTAAGAAACTAATTTAAAACATTATTCTAGTCAGGCATCGAACCCAAGACTCTTTAATGTATTTCTCATAAATGTATGTATATATATATCATTTACATCAAAACTATTAAACCAATAAGGATTAAATATTAGCATGCTTTAAGGCAGGCGTAAACAGAGATTTGGGATAAGATGAGCAGAATATGTATGGAAAAAAATACCAATTTTCATCATAATTACCTCTAAAACATTGATAATAATGAGGATCTAAGACTTATGAGTATTCATTTAAATGAAACTAATATTATTCGTATTACTACGCATAATTTATTACTTTTAACGGGCAAACGAGATTCTACCATAATCAGGGTTGCTGCAAAGTAACCGAAACGTCGGGAGTATTTATATTTTAAACAATATGGGTTTAGTTGTTATATGGGGAGGGTGTGCAGGGCTTTAAGAGCATAAGTTATCTTTAATTAAAGAAATAAAAGATAAAAATATATCTTTTATCTTCAAAGATGTCTTACCCGGATGCAATCTATTATCCAATCTCAGTTCAGCGTAATCCTTGGCCATATTATCTATATTGGTGTTCATGTTTGACCAATCACTGGCTGGGTACCACGGCTGGCTGGCTCGAACCTTCGATTTAGGGGATTCTGGAAAACAATATTACTTTCATATAATATTCTGCTTATAGTAATGCAACATGTCGATAGAATGTATGTATGTATGTTGGATATCAGAATTAGATGTATTTTTATTGATTTCCGACATCCCTGAAGTTTACATAGTAACATATGTATAGTGAACGAAGATTATAGATATTGCTGACGGTTGGTTCATTTATACAGGGTGACTGGTGAATTACTATCAATATTTAAGGAGAATACTCGGTACATGATTCTCATTCGAATTATGTAAAAAAAATAGGCACTTAATTTTTGACAAAATTTCCGTATAAATAAGTAAAGTGTTGACACGTTCCAAGTGTTCAAGTGTGGACGCGTGCGGCGGCGTGCTGATACAACACTACGTCGCGACACGCGTATGTGTGAGTGTGAGTGTATACCTAATCTGTAGGGTGTTCATACGATGCGTAATTAATTACATAACTTTTGGTTAACTTTACTTAGAAGTTTATTAATATTTATGTTATATTAATTTTTATTTTGTCATATATGATCGTCAAATATCACGTCCTCAAATATCGATAGTAATTCACCAGTCACCCTGTATATATATATATATCAGAATAAAATCGGTCCAGTCGTTTGACAGAAGTTCAGTGACATACACACTCACAGAAGAATTATATATATAAAGAAATATCGTTTCCGAAAATAACGCGTAGAAGTAGCGAGCAATAACTAGTTTATTATGTAATGTCGTTATTTATGACATGTTACAAATTTAGTTGACATAATGCTATAAAAGCAAAAGCCGTTTTTCCGTAATTTAATATAGACACGATAGCTCAGTTTCTAAAACGACTGGGATAATATACCTAAGTCCTAGGTTCAAATCCAGCTACTAGGTATGTGTTGTTATATATAAGTAAATTGAATGCACAATATTTATTAATATACAAGTAATGCGCTTAAAAGATAGTATATTTATATGTTATTATATCTTTTTAAAATGAAATGTATATATATATATATATATATATATATATATATATATATATATATATATATATATATATAATACTGTTAATAATAAATTAATTTCTTTATAATGTCCACTTCAAAGTTATGTGAAATTTCTATTACATTAGTAAATTTTAAAGATATTAATTTATTAAAACCCATTTATATAATACAAATTATTATGAATGAAAAAAAAAATATTAAACAAAAGGGAGCTACAACTTATAAATCTATTATTTTTGGAATCATTTATTTATTTATTTATTGATGAGACAATTAATTGTAAAAATATTGTTATATTAAATTTTATAAAATGTTATTTACATAAAGATAGGTACAGTCGTTAAAATAGTTTTACATTTATTAACATAAAATTTCCATCTACTCTCAATTTCAAGGCATCTTTATAAAAAGCTAATGTATATATATATATATATATATATATATATATATATATATATATATATATATATATATATATATATATATATATATATATATATATATATATATATACTAGTTTTTGCTCGCGATTTCGTCTGTGTTAGTTTCAGAATTATAAATGTATAGCTGACCGGGCGAACTTTGTTCCTGTTTAAAGACGGAAAATAACAACATTTAGGATTTTAACAACTTAATATTTTTTCATTTTCAATCGTATGTAAAGTATCCTACGTCCTTTCTATGTTCTAATCTATCTCTCCACCAATCTTCATCAACCCGTACAGTCGTTAGAGTTATAAATAGTGTAACTAAGACGACTTTCTTTTATATATAGTATCCACACCAATATAATTCTACAACAAGTTACAAGCGGTAATCGTAACACACGTCGAACTAATTTTCTCATTCTACTTTAAGGTGGCACTTCACTTGGCGTTTATTTGTTGTTAAACCAAATAAGACCATGTGTGGATGATTTATTCGTTTACATTTGATATATTTGCACAAATAAGACACATACACAAATAAGCGAAAACGCGTAAACACTTGTTGTGATGCCAAGTGTAGATGTCATGTTTGCGCTATTTGGACTATATACAAATATTTGGACAAATGCGGCGAATAGGCAACGCCAAATGAAGTGCCAGCTTTATATTCGTACAAATTACTCAATGATCACCTTTGAATATATATAATATCAACAAAACTAAGACAAGAAGTTAAATTAGTAATTAATATAGAAAAATAGACATTTCTTTACTAAGCTTTATATTTGAAACAACTATGTACTCATTGTCATTTCATTTTTGTAACAAGTATTATCAAACTGTATATTCATAAACTGTTTATTTCCAAAAAGAACAAAGTTCGCTTACAAAGGAAATTTTATAAATTATAATTACAATTAAGATATTACAAATATTAAACAAGATCAGTGAAATCATCTAATATATGGGTTCTTAATCGTTTTTTAAATATATTTAGAGATTTTGAATTGACAACACTTAGAGGCAAAGAGTTATACAGCTGTGCTCCTTCAAATAAAATAGTTTTAATGCCGTATTTGGTTCGAGTTTTAGGTGTTTCTAGTTTATATCTGTTCCTTGTGTGGTAATAATTATTATTCTTACAAGTTTAACTCTCAATTTAGGGAAATGAATATAATATACGGTGAAGGATAACATCGTGAGGAAACCTTGACTTATAGTTTCACAATTATAAGTTTGAAATCACCAACCCGTCTTGAGCAAGCGTGGTGATTAATGATCAAACCTACTCCATGTGAGAAGATGCTCAGCAGTGGGCGCTGATAGGCTGATGACGAATATAATATTTTATACCATAATGTTTACTAACTCTCACTAACTGCCACTCCCTCCGCCACCAAGACTTTTTCCTTTTCCTTTTCCCTCTCCTTCTCTTTCCCTCTCTCCTCCCCGAGGTCTCTCAAGTCAGCCAACATTCTTTCCTCTCCGTCAAACACGAACGAGTTCTCTCTCTCTGGCTGCTGGCGAGGCGGTGATGGCAGAGACACTGTGAAATCATAGAAAAAGATTTAGATTTTAAGCACTTTTTACATCGTTAAGTTAATATTACATCATTACCTACAAAATATTTTTGAAGTTATACTTTTGGGGCGATGGAGAGAAATGATTAATTTTTTTCTTTTATTTCTGTTATATTAACAAATTTTATGTATAAATAAAAAAAAACATTTTCTTTACTTGTTTATAGTAAGCTTAAATACTGAGTGTATATACTATCTTTAATCTAACTATTTGTTCAAATTTGATTTATTTTCTGTACGCCAAAGAATTGTAACTTCTAAGACATGTACATAAGTACAGTGCCGGCGTTAGAGGGACTGACACCCTGGGCAAGAATATTTTCGCGCACACTTAAAGAAATCTTAATCGAGTATTAATTTTTTTCTGAACCAATATGAACACTGAACGTGTATTAAGAATTCTATATTCCATCTTTCCTTTAGCGTGACCCAGAGCTAACGACGTGGACGTAGAAAGTTATGTAGCTCCTATTTTTTTTATTATTATTTTTATTTTCACTTATTGCCCCCCAAATTTGGCCCTGGGCAGTCGCCCCATCTCGCCCCCCCTAACGCTTGCACTGCATAAGTACACAGATTCTCTGTCTATTCTATCTCTATCTCTGTCCCTCTCCATACTAACCTCCGTCCCCGCCGCCTCCTCCTCCTCCCTCCAGTAGTTCCTTCAGCTCCTGCTCCAAGTCCTCAACGTCCACATCATCTATAACACCACCAAGAGCCTTCTCTACTTCGTTGTAACTATCCATTACCTGTAATTTGTTAGATAAACTCATATATATAAAATATTTATAATAATACACTCAAGACGGTAAGGAAAATTCTATTAGTTTCCACTTACGGAAATCTCAAAGGATATATACAAGTTGATTCTTGAATATATAGAACTAATACAGGGTGACTGGTGAATTACTATCAATATTTAAGGAGAATACTCGGTACATGATTCTCATTCGAATTATGTAAAAAAAATAGGCACTTAATTTTTGACAAAATTTCTGTATAAATAAATAAAGAGTGGACACGTTCCAAGTGTTCAAGTGTGTACGCGTGCGGCGGCGTACTGATACAACACTACGTCACGACACGCGTATGTGTGAGTGTCAGTGTATACCTAATCTGTAGGGTGTTCATACGATGCGTAATTAATTACATAACTTTTGGTCAACTTTACTTAGAAGTTTATTAATATTTATGTTATATTAATTTTTATTTTGTCATATATGATCGTCAAATATCACGTCCTCAAATATCGATAGTAATTCACCAGTCACCCTGTATATATGTATATATAAATATAGTTAAATTTGTCTGTTTTTATGGACACACTAGTCTCAGCAACTATAGATCAGATATGAATATTTTTAAACATCTGCTATAGTTATAACAACTTCTATGTCATATCCGACATGATACAGCAAAAAAGAGACAAAACCTCTCATCATTCAATGTATTCACGGTGCGTGTGTCGGGTCCATCGTTGTAGTGAGAGGAGCTTCAACAGTGACTGGTACTTGTGACCCAGGTGTAGGTTTAAGGGACCCCTATGTAACGCGTTAAACGCTCACCTCCACTGTCCAAGCTCCTCTCACTACCAAATTTGAAATGAACCCACTATTGCTAATTTTAGTCAAATAATAGTCTTTTTTACTTTAATATTTTTGTGACTTTAATATTTCCTGTCTTATATATAAGAAATATAAACCAACTCACATCTTTCAGGTCATCCATTGTATTATAAACAGAGTCTTCATCTAGACCTCCATCCTTCATTGTTTGCTTCATAGCCTTGGCACTGTTCCTGTATATAAAATATATATTAATTTTAATTATACTAGTTTGAGAGATATATCTCACATACAAACATAATAAGGAAAGACATGTGTTTATGTATGTATAACATTTTATCTTATTGTATATAGTTAAATATAATTTTATACTGTGGTTTATTATACTATCGAGTTTAAAACAACGAGAAGTGACTATTGTCTTGAAGATGATGGTTTAAATAATAATTAAAATTAATATATAGAGAATATTAGAATGTAGAAAAGGTATATATTTCAACTAAAAAGTTAATTTATGAGTATCTTGTTTAGTTATTATCATACAACTATCAAGCCAAAGCCTGTATTAGGTACTAAGACAAAATTAAATTTTGCAAAAACAATCTTGAATGATAAAAGAAATTTCATTTCAATATACATATTATGAATTTTGTGTATATTTATATATTATAATTCATGGTTATCAAAATGGCGGACACGCCGTTTGATGTGATTCATAAAATTTCACTTTTATTTTCCTAAATGTATTAGGTACTCATATATTTCCTGATATACATACTTATATTACATCAGAAACATGTATGATAGAAGTTTCTAAGTATAAACACTTAATGTATTGAGAATACACACACACGCGCGCACGCACACGAGCGCACACACACACACGCACACACACATATAGCTCACCTGTATGTATCTACGACGGCGGATGTGACGTCACTATTCCTAGCCTGCAGCATCAGTTCCTTGATATTCTCCAACGCCGCTTCACACTGATGCAGCTTCTGTTCGGTCCTCATCTTCCTCCTCAAATGGTTCTTAGCCTGGATAATATAAACTTGCTTGTGAATCCCTACTGATATTATAAATGTAAAAGTACCTCTGTCTGTATGTTAAGCTTTCACACCTAAACCATTGAACTGATTTTAATAAAATTTTGGTACAGAGATAGAGTTAACCTTGAGAAAGAACATAGGATAGTTTTTATCCCAGACTTTTGAAAGGTTCTCTTGGAAACGCGATATAATCGAACTCGATGCGGGCGAAGCGGGCGGAAAGCTAGTATTATACAGGGTGACTGGTGAATTACTATCAATATTTAAGGAGAGTACTCGGTACATGATTCTCATTCGAATTATGTAAAAAAAATAGGTACTTAATTTTTGACCAAATTTCCGTATAAATAAAGTGTGGACGGCGGCGTGCTGATACAACACGACGCCGCCGCACGCGTGTGTGTGTGTGTGTGTGTGTGTGTATACCTAATCTGTAGGGTGTTCACACGATGCGTAATTAATTACATAACTTTTGGTTAACTTTACTTAGAAGTTTATTAATATTTATGTTATATTAATTTTTATTTCGTCATATATGATCGTCAAATATCATGTCCTCAAGTATAGATAGTAATTCACCAGTCACCCTGTATATATATATATGACAAATGTGGATAGTTCACACAAAATTTACGTCTTTGTAGTTACAACTGGTTAAAACGAGATTTTTTTTATCTTGACAGAAAATTTATATGCAATAGCTTAATGAATTACATATGCCATAACAAAATTATTACTTTATATTTTCTTTGATTTCTAAGAATAATCTGGCACAGAGATACTTTAGACTTAAATTCTAAGGATAAACTGGCATTGGCAAAAGCAATATGAGTTTTCTTTACTATTTTGAATCGAAATATATCCTGTTTCTTATTAAAGTTACTCACAGCGATTTTATTGCCAAGCTTCATGGCGGCCCTCGCTTCGGACTCTGCGACAGAAACGTCGCGCGACAGTCGTGCGACGTCATCAGACAGTCGGGTCTCAGCGGACATCAATTTCACCATCGCGGAGTCCATTTCCGTAACCGGTTGGACTTTTTTGTTAGGTTCGGCTGAAAATATAAAATAAATAGTAAGATTTCTGACAATTATATTAATATACTAGAAGACCCGGCTAACTTCGTATCACCCTATAATCAAGAAGTATCTATTACGTTTTTTTATTTATATTTTTGGAAATATCTGTAAGCCATAAATCTCCGTGTTTTGAAGTGCGACAGAATGATTGACATATTAGTTAGTTGTCAAATCTAATGTCAAAAAAAAAACGTTTGTATGGGAAATAGAAAAGGGCTGTTTTTATGGTTTTCCCAGTAATTAATAAAAAAAATCAGCTTTTATACATTCCCTGAACCTCCACCAACATTTCAAGACTAAGATAAGATAAATCCGTTCAGCTGTTCTCGAGTTTTAGTGAGACTAAGGAACAGCAATTCATTTTTATATATATAGATGAAGTAATAACTTTTAAGAGAAATACGAAAACAGGCGAACGTAGATTTCAATACAGTCAAAATTTATATACAGAAGATATGTATAAAATTATTCACTTAATCACAAACATACAGCTTATCTCATTGCTTCAACTTAGGTTATTGAAGTGAAACTTCTAATGCAACTTCCAAGATGGTTGCGTTAAACGTTTAACGCTAATGGAGGGATAGAAAGAGACGGAACGAGAGTGAATGGATGGGTTAGTTGTGAATTGCAAGCAATGCTTATAAAGTTTGTCTTGAAACAATATGAGTTCACTAAAAGTTGATTTCTACTTTCCTATTTTCATTTTTACATAACGAAGTTTCACTTCTTTCGCGCGGAGGGACTCCATGCACAATTTTTTTAATTGTTCAGTATGCTTAATACAAGTTTGCATCCTAATACCACACACGAGGCGTTTCGCGTTTCTCATTAAATACTACAAATCAAACTTTTGGTTGGTCAATATAGGCGGAGTCATAATAAACGAATTCTACTGTACATTAATACTTATGAGGATTTATAAGCGATAAACTTTTAACGATCACTAAAAATTATCTACCTTCCTGTTATCATTTCAGCATTACGTAGTTTCATTTTTAAGGACTACGAACTATTTTTATGTAAATTCACTTTCATTCATATTTATAATAGAAAAAAACATAGACAAAGTAGTGTGCAAATATATATCTAATATACATTAATAAGTAACTCACCTATTTTGACGACATCCCCACTCTTGATAGCCATACCCTGTGACACCAAATAACCCAAAAGCACTTCAAAGACCTCCCTATTAGTGAAACCACTACATCTCATGAGTTCTTCAATAGTACCAATCCTTTCTGCACCAGCTGGAAAGTTGTTCAACAACTCATTAGCTTGCTCCTGAAAGAAAATTATACTGAAATTATTTAAACGATACAAGAAAATTACAAGATAATTATTGTGGAGTTCGGTTATATCGCGTTTCCAAGAGAACATTTCAAAAGTCTGGGATAACAACTATCCTATGTTCTTTCTCAAGGTCAACTCTATCTCTGTACCAAATTCCATTAAAATCAGTTCAGTGGTTTAGACGTGAAAGCGTAACAGACAGAGTTACTTTCGCATTTATAATATCAGTAGGGATCTATTTATCATCATCATCAGTCTATCAGAGCCTGCTGAGCAAAGGCCTCTTCTCACATGGAGAAGATCTCAAATCTATTCTGCCTATATTAAATATACTTGCACCGTTCAATGTTTATATTTAGAAGAAGATACTCAAAAACTGACAAGTAATCCCTACTAATATTATACTCTAATTCTGACTGTTTGTCTGTTACGCTTTCACGCCTAAACTACTGAACTGATTTTAATTAAATTTGGTACATCTGTACCTATATCTATAGAGTTGACCTTGAGAAACAACATAGGATAGTTTTTATCCCAGACTTTTGAAAGGTTCTCTTGGAAAAGTGATATAACCGAACTCCATGCGGGCGTAGCTGCGGGCGGAAAGCTAGTAGTATATATTATTGCAAAGAAATTAATCTACTAAAACTTTTACTCCAAATAGAGTTGACTCATGTGGACTATGAACCATTTTCTGGAAACCGCCAGGAGTGAATTGACATTCGGACAAGTCTTAGTATTCCTAACATAAAATAATCAACTTGGAAAATTCAAGATAATAATTTAGCAATCCTTTTAGTTCTGTTAGAACATTCAGGCTCAAAACAGGGATTGAAAAGTAGAAAAAAAAAGATGGACCTTGCATCAGTGTAATTTATGGAATGATGAGAATTTTCGTTTCATTAACTAGTTTCTGTCTATAACTCTCTTCGTGGGCTTTAGAATTAGTTTAAGAGAAAAATGCATATTATGATACTTGCAGAGAAATCTATAGTCTGTCAAGTGACGTTAATCACAATAGCGACTTGTAATTTCGGTATAAATTACACTCTCATGTCCTTATCTTATATCTGAATTACATAACTGTAGAGTTACATCAAAATCCCTTTAATGCTTTTTGTATGAGACCAACAAACATCCAAACAAAATTTTACATATATACAGGGTGACTGGTGAATTACTATCAATACTTGAGGACGTGATATTTGACGATCATATATGACAAAATAAAAATTAATATAACATAAATATTAATAAACTTCTAAGTAAAGTTAACCAAAAGTTATGTAATTAATTACGCATCGTGTGAACACCCTACAGATTAGGTATACACATACACACACACACGCGTGTGGCGGCGTGGTGTTGTATCAGCACGCCGCCGCCCGCGTCCACACTTGGAACACTTAGAACGTGTCCACACTTTATTTATTTATACGGAAATTTGGTCAAAAATTAAGTACCTACTTTTTTTACATAATTCGAATGAGAATCATGTACCGGGTATTCTCCTTAAATATTGATACTAATTCACCCGTCACCCTGTATATTAGTAGATACCAAATATCAAAAGTTTTTAAATATAAAGCGAAACTTCTCATCATTCCATGTATTCACGGTGCGTGTGTCGGGTCCATCGTTGTAGTGAGAGGATCTTCAACAGTGACTGAGACTTGTGACCCAGGTGTAGGTTTAAGGGACCCTATCTAACGTTAAACGCTCACCTACACCGTCCAAGCTCTTCTTTCTATCAAATTTCAAAAGAACCTACTAGGGCTGCCTTCGAAGTACGTTCCAAGAATGAATTAATGTGAATTCTGGACAAGCCCAAGTCTTTTAGTAGATTATATAGATTACGCTTTTATACCTCTCGCTTCCACTTCTACCACATACAAATCCACGACGAACCTATTTCGAGTCAGTTCATTAGTGTAGTGTTTGTATCTATACAATATATATAACACACTGTCTCACGTACCCCACTAGAGGGGCGGCATGCGCTCGGCAGACTCACGACTAACGCGGAGCGGAACGGGGACGTGCGTCGCTCTAGGCGGGGTAGTAGTGAGACAGTGACTAGTTATACTTACATAAAGGACCAGGGATCCTACAATTAGTATGTTCGTAATAATTTTCTTACCTTAACTGCACTCTCCAGAACAAATCTCTGCGTAGAATCTATACTGGCTTTTGGTAATCCATTGTTATCTATTGCTTGTCTTGCTGGTAATAGTGATGTAACAGCAGTTATGGCTATTGCAGCAGGTTTGAAGGCAAGCCGAGCTCCCCAACGAACCCAGCTTTCAGGCCCATTGTGGAGAATCTGGTGGTATTTTGATATTGGAGACAGGTCACCATTGCTGGAAACAAACATATATTGATTGAATCCTTCTATTCTATAATTATATCAAGTATAAGAGAAGATTATTCTCATTGTTGGTATTAAAATATATAAATTATGGAGTAGAGTAATTATTAAAGTGCCTAACATATTTTTTTAAAGTAGAAGTTATTCAAAAGATATTAATTAATAGTGGGTAATTCATGTTGAATTTAAAACCAACTATTTGATAATTGTAATATTTACTTATTAACATCATGAATAGTCAATGGTGGCCTAGTGGTTAAAAGGCCTGCCTATATGCATGAGAGTGCTTGTTCGATCTTGGCCCTGGCAAGTACCAATGTGATTTTTCCAAGTTATATGTACTTTCTAAGAGTATTCAGTTATCACTGATTAATGCATTCTCAAAGAGGGTTGATATTAGGCAGGCAGCCGGTCGTAAAAACAAGCAGCCAAAACTATTCACAACATGTAAGGCAGACTCTGGCTTAAAGCTGGGAAATTGCCAGGAAAGAAGAAGACTTATTAACCACATGAATTTATTCTAAAATTATGTAATAAGACTGAAGATTTTCGCGAGATTTTTATTAAAATGACACTAGTATTTTGCTTATATACTACGCAATTTATTATTATGACAAACTACATACTCCCGACATTTCAGCTACTTTTCAGCAACCATGATCACATTGATTAAAATAGAAGTTAATATAAGATCAGGAACTTTAAATTTTGTTTGAAACATTACTTTATATTGACAAGAAATTATTTTAGATATTTTAGGTGATTCTGAATCATTTAGACTTTCCGATTTTAATCTTTCGAGTACTACTCTTGTCACCTCATTAATTTTGACAAAGTCTTCATACTATGATGGATGATGGCTTGTAATGATCAATATATCATCATAACTCGGACAAAATTTTTGGAGTTACAAAAATATATTTTATACTTATTATTTATTAAATTTACTCTCAAATAATATAAATATACAATAAATATGTAAAACAAAATATTTATTATAACTCTTGCAAGAGTTTTTGTAGAGATTTTCAATTCTAAAAGACTTAAGAGCAACTAAGCTATTATTCTAAGCATAATACTTAAATAAATATCACTATTTAAATGTCTAATATATTATTTATGAAAAAGTATTTTAAGCTTAAATGACATACAAATATTAAGCTATGTACGCACAACACATTATGATGTCATCCCTACTAATATTATAAATGCGAAAGTAACTCTGTCTGTCTGTCTGTTACGCTTTCACACCTAAACCACTGAACTGATTTTAATGAAATTTGGTACAGACATAGAGTTGATCTTGAGAAAGAACAAAGGATAGTTTTTATCCCAGACTTTCGAAAGGTTCTCTTGGAAATGCGATATAACCGAACTCAACGCGGGCGAAGCTGCGGGCGGAAAGCTAGTATATTTATATATGCAAACTTCCTGTATTTAGATGACCTTGGAATTAAATAAACATTTTGGTTGAAACAAAATATTATCTGTGTCTTAAAATTTGTCATGTGCAGAAGTAATATATCGATGTATAAGGGCCAATGTCCAAAATGACAATTTGCAGTAGAGGCGTTTTAAGTTTGATTTCAATGTATCTTGTACATACAACTGATGCTTTTGAAACTTTGTATAGCAACTATGACATACATGTACGTCATTTAAGATTGATAAACTTTTTTGTGAACCTACTAGTTTAAATATATACATTTAAGCAACTCACTGATACATTTCTTCTATGACTATGTCCAAACACGCAGCCGTCCTTCCTCTTCTTTGGAAGGCGCTTCTCACGTCCGCAGCCGACACGATAGGATCAGTTTTACATCTACACCACTGCCGTACCATATCTGACCAGAATTTCATCTTCATGTCCCAGGATTCGGGATTCGCGACTTTCAGTCTGAACGGGGCGAATAACGCGTTCATACGAACATCATCCGACCAGCATGATGGGAGCTTGTCTTCCGGTATACCACACTCACTTAAACCCATTGTAACTGATTTTAAATCTATCTATTTTATATATAATCGCATGTACGCACTGAATTAAATTTTGTATTTTGCTTTCCTTTGACTTTTGACGTTTAAAATAGTGTGGTGCTTTGTTTAGGCAAACAGATTATGTAATATGAATAATAATAACAAAGAACATGTATGACAGCTTAAGATTAATCTCGTATAGTCAAAATTCCAATGACGTAATAGAAATAATTTTCATTTAAAATATGTTTAATATATATGTAGTTTCAAATTTATATAAAGATTATAGTATTATTAATATAAGTATTCATTTATAAGAGGCAAAAGATCGAATTATCTGTAAACTGTCTGTGTTATCCGAAAACCTGTCACTTGACATTTAAAAAAACTATAAAGAAATTGTCTCTGCTAAAACCGCTCATTGAGGCTCAGACGTCACGTTTCCCAAAGAATTTCTATTTTCCGAGTTTTCCAAGTCTCTTAATATCAGTGAATTGTTAAAAAACCTTGACATCTTGTGTTGGTGAGTTATAATGCTTAAAATATTTTTTAACAACAATTATTTGTTAAATGGAGTGTATATTGTATATGGTTGCGTCTGATCATACATTGGATCATTACACCATAAAGTGCTGTTACTCGCCTGTTTGCTAAATAAGGTTAATTACGTACGCTTCATTATTCAATAATAGAAACACTTTAATTGATATTTCATAACACTAACCTAGTTAATATCATTCAATTCGCGCGAAGTCTTTGTGGTTTTGTTATAACGGTGTTTTCCTAAACCGGTTTGTTTTTTGTGATTTATATTACATACTCGTCAATTATACTAATAAATTCGATATCAATAAATAAATATAATGATTTTATTAAATTTTACGAGACAAATAATCATTGAAGACATTATCTATATCTTAAATTAAGGCCAGCCTCAATTAACACCAACGACCCACTTAGAAATTATTAGCATTTGATTCTTATTGAAGGTTGCACTCAAAAATGTTTATACATCCCGACCATCTACATAAGTTCAGTAAAATTATAAAAAATTTAATTTTAAGCCCGAATATATAAACAATGTATATAATTTTAGTAATTTTACTTTAAATGAAAGTATTTTTTGAACATACTGTGCGGTTTATTTTTGATTATAAACTACATACTCCCAACATTTCAGTTATTTTACAGCAACTGTGATCATGGCATAGGATCTTAGATCTCATAAATTTAAAAACCATATAAATATTATTATTATTTATATATATATATTCAGATTTTTATCTTGTAATACATCATTGATAGTAAATTGATATGTTTATAATCAATAAATCATTTTATTGTTATTTTTTACAAGTGGAATAATTAAAATTGCACTTAAGTGTTCATCGAGAGCTGTATTTGTTATCAATATTATTATTGAGTGAATATAAAATAATTACCGAAAATTTTTATACATATACAGTCAAAACCGTTTATAACGACATTGAAGGGACCGTATATATCCGACGTTATATCCGATAGTCGTTATAAGCAATAGTCATATACACAACTACAGTAGTTATACATATTGTCATATGTAGTAACATATCTTTCTAGTATACACATATAGGTTATGTAAACGATTCAGAAAAGAAATAAAAATATTTATTACGAAATAATTAGAATACAAAATGTATGTACTTGGCTGCTTACAGTTACGAGTTATAAAAAACTACACTAGTTTTTAAAGTAATCAGTCATTTTAGAATATTTTTTTTTAGCACAGTCTCAAATATTTTTAACATTTTACGTTTCATACTCAAGGTATGAGTATCATCAATATCAAAGTGTTCGTTAAAGGCAAATTTTTTTTTGCAAAACTGTTACATCATTAAGAGCCTCGGAAATTATTGTTGGCTGAAACTATTCTTCAAGGTCTTGTTGGTCTTCGTGTTGTTCGTTAGTGTTAGGGTTGTTACTTTTAGCTTCTGCAAGAATCTCTTCCTCAGTAGCTAAGGCGCTAACGCGACACTGTTATCTGTTCCAATAAATTCCTCTGTTTCAATTCTTTGTTCTAAAGCAGTAGATCTTTGCAACTGGGTAAGGACAAGGAGCGGTTGGTCGCTAAAGTTGATTAATATCGATAAATTTTCGTCGTTCTAAGCGATATGTCGCTGTATCCGATGTTGTTATAAGCGGTTTGTATACTAAATAGTTTACTAGCAATTCGGACGGGACCATACAATCTGGCTGTAATAACCGATAGGTCGTTGTAAACGATGTCGTTATAAACGGTTTTGACTGTATATACTTGAATTGTATGTATACAATGAGATTCTCATTCGCATCTTGTCCTCATGATCATGTTTGCTGAAAAGTAGCCGAAACGTTAGTAGTATGTAGTTTTTTTCTAAATTTTTCGCTTTCATATTTAAATATTAATATATGTATATGAAATTATCGTGTTGTGGTGTTAGATAAAGAACTCCTCTGAAATGGATGGACTGATTCTCATGAAATTTTGTGAGCATATTGAGTAGGTCTGAGAATAGACCAACATCTATTTTTCATACCCCTAAGTTATAAGGTTTTTTCACCCTTATAATTTTTTCGAACGATTTTTTTTGTGTTTATTTTATTGTAATGTAGCATTAAAAATACATACAACCCAAAATTTTTACTTTTTTATCACCAACCCCTATTTTTTATATGGCAAAACAAGGTATGCCGGGTCAGCTAGTATATATATATATATATATATATATATATATATATATATATATATATATATATAGATACATACACATATATTCCTACTAGTCCCTACTAATATTATAAATGCGAAAGTAACTCTGTCTGTCTGTCTGTCTGTTACGCTTTCACGTCTAAACCACTGAACTAATTTTAATTAAATTTGGTACAGAGATAGCGTTGACCTTGAGAGAGAACTTAGAATAGTTTTTATCCCAGACTTTTGGAAGGTTCTCTTGGAAACGCGATATAACCGAACTCGACGCGGGCGAAGCTGCGGGCGGAAAGCTAAAGTAGAATTTCTAAAACACAATATCCCTTATCAAACAATCTCTCCATTAACATATGACGCAAATAGACATATTTAAAATATGTAAAGAATTTAGTGATACATAACCAGTAGGTGCTCCATCACAGAAGTTATCAAGTGAATACAAAGGAATAATTATTCGTATTTAACCGATATAACTTGTATTGTAATATTTAACATAACAATTGAATAACGATTTAAAATGCATCTGTTATGGGGTACTTGGGGTTATTTTTGTTTATGAATTCGTATGAGGTTAAAATGAAACTAATATTTTTCGGATATACGCGGTTTATTTTTGTAAAAATTACATACTCCCGAAATTTAAGCTACTTTTCAGCAACCGTGATCACGGACAGACTAGATATGTACGCTTGGACGGTGTAGGTAAGCGTTTAATGCGTTAGATAGGTGCCCCTTAAACCTACACCTGGGTCACAAGTCCCAGTCACTGTTGAAGCTCCTCTCACTACAACGATGGACCCGACACACGCACCGTGAATACATTGAATGATGAGAGGTTTCGTCTCTCTATATATATTAAACCTACACCTGGGTCACAAGTCCCAGTCACTGTTGAAGCTCCTCTCTACAACGATGGACCCGACACACGCACTGTGAATACATTGAATGATGAGAAGTTTCGACTCACAAAAAATATTAGTTTCATTTAAATTAATAAAACTCGCGAAAGTCTTAGATCTCATTCTTGTAAGTTATTTCTTTTGGAGTAAATTTTACTGTTCGCTAAATTTTACTGCCAATACTTGCTGTGTGTTATAATTATTTACCAAAATATTTCTATAAGACTAGTAGCGGCATCTTCGTTTTATTCATGACTTTTCAGCTATTATCACTTGAGTTATTGATAATGCTCAATTTATTACCCCTTTTTTCTCTTATCCCTTCCATTTCCCCCCCTTTCCCCCTCTTTCCCGTCATATAATCTCCAAATCAGTGTATTATATAAATTTTAATATTATTTTCGTTTTATCCAAGCCACACCCACAAACGATGTCGCTAATCACAAAACAAATATATTTATCAGACATCTGAACGTCCTTTATGTACCATTGTAGGACAAAATTATATTTACAATATTTTTTTTGTATTTTAATGAGAAAAATCCAAAAAAATCTACAGATTTTCACGTATTGTCGTCTTTATTTAAACCAAAATTATTATAATCTGTTCATTATTACCGATACTGATAATTTTTAAAAGATATTCACAAAATATATGTCATCTGAGAAAAAGTAGCAGTCTCGAGAATTAAATCTATCTCAATGTGGCATTTTTATCAAAATCGTATAGTGGTTTATATATTACGACGTGTACGAGACATACAAACATTTGAATTTAAAATAAATAACTAAATACTATGAATAAAAGTTGTTTCTAAATGTATATTTTATTTTGGTGCAGTTGTCTCTAATAGATAAACTGCCAAGAGAGAAAGTTATACAGGGTGACTGGTGAATTACTATCAATATTTAAGGAGCATACTCGGTACATGATTCTCATTCGAATTATGTAAAAAAAATAGGTACTTAATTTTTGACCAAATTTCCGTATAAATAAATAAAGTGTTGACACGTTCCAAGTGTTCCAAGTGTGGACGCGTGCGGCGGCGTGCTGATACAACAAGACGCCGTCGCGCGCGAGTGTGTGTGTGTGTGTATACCTAATCTGTAGGGTGTTCATACGATGCGTAATTAATTACATAACTTTTGGTTAACTTTACTTAGAAGTTTATTAATATTTATGTAATATTAATTTTTATTTTGTCATATATGATCGTCAAATATCACGTCCTCAAATATCGATAGTAATTCACCAGTCACCCTGTATATAAAAAATATTATACATTTAAATGCAGTTTATTTTTACAAAAATAAAGTCGCGTAGTCTTCGTCTACTTCTGCTTCCTTTCAATTTCCCAGCTATAGCCAGGGTCTGCCTTACATGT